ACACACACACACACACACACACACACACACACACACACACACATACAAACACACACATACATAGATACATACACACAAAAACACACAGACAACCCAGTGACAATATGCTGTTATACAGCAAAAAATGCACAATAACAGCAAATGTATGTTGGTGTATTAGAAAGCGAAAACCTGAAGTCGTCACTCTATTCAAATTTTTAACTATCAAGCTTGGATCGAGGAGATATGCGCAGCGATCGAATTTCAGTTATTTTAAAAAGCGGCTCGATGTGTGCTTTTTCATCCCTTGACTCTTCGGCTTAGTTCACATCTTCATAGGCATTTGACGAGACTCTGTCCGTGCATGTTTATGCTCTTGAGTATGTCACACATTTTCAGTTCGACCACTCAAACAGATCAGACTAGTAAGTGTTTTGTGAACATAGCCCTTGGGTGGTTCAGTGTCTCCGAACTCTTTAACTAGCCTTCTGGACTCGTCCTACTCGAATTTGTAATCCAGTATGGATGGTAACCAGATTTGCGTGATCCTCCAAATTTACATACATTGTGCCCCAGACATCATGTCGTCTACGTCTACAGAAGTAGGCGATAAGTAGAACGCATGGAAGATTAATTTGCTTACGAAACACAACGCTGAGGTCAAAAATCGAAGTGCGGGGGAGCTGAAAAGGCACTTTTAAGATAAATCTTTTTTTTTTTTGAAACTCTAAAGAAATTTAAGGAATTAGTCTTTTACGTCATTCTCATGACGCACGAAAAACATTGTCGTAATTTCAGGTCCTCCTCCTCCCCACTCTTTTTGAACTCGGAAAAACAGAATAAGTAGCCCAAGGACTAATTCATAAATCAGCGTCTAGAACGTTTCCGAGCCCAGTGCGCTTTCCGAGCAGCTTAACAGATATTTTTTGGATAAAACTATGCAAAAATTGAATGCTTACGTCATGTCATCCAACAAAAATTCATCCCATCCTCGGCCTATTTCATGGTACCGCTTCCGCTGTTAACTGTTTCTTATCGAATTTCTCGTCATCAGCAATCGTTATTCGAGGAGCAATATGAGAGCCTGCAAGTATGCTTGAGCACGTCATTGCCGGTTTAGCTACAGTAATCTTCGATTCTCGAGTGCTAACTTTGAAACAAACGCCTCCCCTGGCATGTTCGGCTTCCAACAGAGAAAGAAAGGAAAGGGCGAAGAACATTCGAGTCTGGGCACCTCGTCACCAAAATGGCCCTCTTCCACTTAGTATTTATGCATCCATTAACTTAAATACGAGAATTTTCAGCATTTTAACACTAAATTCAGCATTTTCAAGCTTTCCGAAATTCCGGACAGGTTTAATACTAAAGCCAAGATAACAGAACTAAGCAGTGCATATACTAATGAACAAATCGTAAAAGCACTCCGTATTTCATCCCTTAGCTGTAAACATGAGTAGAGCTATAGCATAATGTGGGAGCGGAAATCATCAGTAAAGCCTCTCAATGTTGCGTCCGTTTGACCAACTCTCAATCCTGTCCACTGAACTTTATGTTTTTTGGTCAAATACTTTACATTTTCCTTCGCTGGAGAAATGATTTCGACAAATCTCAGTGAAAAACAGAAAAATTACTTCCTCTTTCTCGCCTTTTGACTTAATATTTCAACATGAAAGTGCTGCCAACACAACAAAACTTTTTTTTTGGCAGTCTGGAAGTTTTTTTTTTTCGCTCTCACCAACCCGAGTTCATGACAAGTGGCAGTGATAGCCCAACACATGAAGAGGGAGGCATGGAAGGGAGGTCATGCATTTTTCAGGAATTAATTCTCTAGAATCTGCCGATGACGTAAACGCAACGAAACTACTCTTTTTATGATGAGACATAAAAGAGGCAATTTCAATGCGAGTGATAAAATTTTCATGAAAATGAAGATTTCTTCAGGAAGTTTTTGCTAGGGCTGTTTCCGGGCACAGTGCATCTGAGCCGTTCCACGGCGCCTTTCCATTCATTCATTCATTCATTCATTCATTCGTGTTATGCTTTTTCTTTCTTTCACCCAGCTTAGCATCCTGTTTTTCCAGTGCTGCCTCTTCAGCCGCAAAGTGTTCAGGGACCAATTTGCTTCAGTCTCAAGTTAGTAAAGAACAACAGCATCCAAAATATGCCAGCAATCGCATGTAAATAGTAAAGCTCCTCCAAAATTAACTCGTTTTGTTTGAGGTACTTGCCAGTAACAGACACCTGTTGCTGATTTCCTTGCATATGCCAGTACCAATTTACCATCGAAATGAACCGTGTGGGGCTGGTTTGCTCAATTGCAGCTAAGTTATCAATGAAACTGGAAGTTCCCAGAATTGAAGTTTGAATATCAAAACACCGAGTTTCTACTGGAACTCGGACTCAGAACACTTATGAAATTGTGAACATGTGTGTGTGTGTGTGTGTGTGTGCGTGTGTGTGTATGTACGTGCGTTCAAAATGCTTTTTATCCGGGTTCCAATTTGCGAATCAGAAAAGATGAAATAGCAGGAGAGCAATCCGTGGCCCTATGCGTTCCGCAAATTAAAATCCAGCTTCCAAGTACGTCCAGATCTCTCGTACAGACACGTGAAAGTTTTGGCGGGAAAATACAAACTTCAGAACCAGAAAAGCTAGGAAGCTGAAATTTTCGGAGGATTTTTTTTTTGTTCATATGTGAGTCTACAAATTTAAACTCAGTCCCCACATACTTGTGCGTTGTTTCATAAGCACGCGAAATTTTTGGTGGGAGATTTCGCAACTTTGAAATGGCAAAATTTCAACAATTTTTACACATACCAAACTGTAAAGCAGTGAATATTATTAATGTAGCAAACGTTCGCTGGACGGAACTGCGCAATACGCATGATCGTACTGGCTACACTGGTACGCGCCGCTATTTATGCTCAACTAAATTTGATCGAAGTTTGCGGCGCGGGTTCTGCGTAATTACGGAAGTACTACGTTACAACTGTCTTCCGACCTAAAATTAATCGCACGTGCGTGTGAAAAGGCGCTAGATATTGGTTTGGGTGAAAATATGAGTTACGTGAAAAACACGTAACTCAAAGTCGAGAAAGTACGTAACGTGCGTTGCTGCAATGCTTTGATCAGCTGTTGTTTCATCGTTGAGTCTTTTCCCGCCACTACTGATACGGCTGGCAATTTGCCAATTTTTGTGCATTTTTGGAGCAATTACTAAAATTCGGTTCGGCTCGGTCGCACAGGATGCTCTCGTTTTCGGCTCAATTGTTGGATAGGGGGCTCGTAATTCGAGGGTTTTCGTTTAAGTTAGGTCGCGGGTGTAGTATACAAGCTTATGAGTTTTAGCGCGGTAACATGTTTTTATGCGTTTTTCGCAGCTATGTAGTGCAGAAAATGCATACTGACGAGGGGTTGTCTATGTGTGTGTCTGTGTGTTCGTCTGTACCGATTTTTCATCTCGAGACCTACAAAAGTTACTAGGCTGAAATTTTGAGGACTTAATCTACATGCATGTACGGGCCCCCATTTCCGGAAAGGGCGCTCTTACCCGCGTGGCACCCACATATGAGCCCGCCAAAGTTTTTTATGGGTAAGCTGCTAACTCGGGAACCAGAAATGCTGGGAGGCTGAAATTTTAAGAGGATGTTCCTCGTCCGAGTAGGTATTAATGCTCAAACCCAGCCCCTGGGTAAGCATGGTACCCACGTACGGGCTCGCCAAAATTTTTTTTCGGGTAAGTCATTAACTCGGGAATCTGAGAAGCTAGAAGGCTGAAATCTTAAGAGAGTGTTCCCCGTCCAAGTGAGTATTAATGAGCTCAAACCCTGCCTGCGGGTAAGCGTCGTGCCTACGTACGGGCCCATGAAAGGTTTTTTCGGGTAAGCTGCTAACTCAGGAAAATGAGAAGGTAGAAGACTGGAATTTTGAAAGGATGTTTCCTGACAATCCTGGCGGGCAGTCTGAAATTTTTTTAGCTAGAAGCATCTGCCGGAAAAAACAGTGCTGTTGGCGACAAAAACTGCGGGGAACTATGCAAAAAACGCATCTTCGCACGGACTGCCCGTGCGTTGGCCAATTATTATTTACTTAGCATCACAAACTCATTTTACCCCCTCCACATAATCTCTGCCCCTGCTTACAGTTTTCCTGCCTTCAGGCAAGATCTCAGCTCCTTTCCAGTGAACATGTTCTTCCCCTCCCTCTCCTCTCCTCCTTCGCCCCTCCTTCCGTCCCGCTTCCCCTCCTCCTTCCGTGTTAAGGACACTGAAGGAAATCTAAATTATTACCTGTGACGTAATTTGGCGCCTTTCTTTTGTTCAGGATAGGAAGATGTGCAAAGGCAAATAAAATAGATGATTTATTTAGTATATTTACATGCAGTAATACAGTAATAACTCAAGTTGCTCGGTTGAGCAGAAGGAGGAACAGATTTGTACGTGGGAACCACGCCAGCCGGGAGCTGGGTATGAGCTCATTAATACCTTGTTGAACGGGGAATATTCCCCTAGAATTTCAGCGCTCTAGCTTCTTAAATCCCTGAGTTAAGAAGTCAACCGA